TGTGTTTTGAAAGCAGACCGACTATTGGATGTCATACATGTAGATGAAAAAAGAAGACAACAAAAGCAGTATGCTGCTTTATGTAGAGGTGAATACACCAACCAGGAATGATTGACCCCTTGTACATTCAGAAGGCGTCGTTTGAACCAAAATGCAGTCATAGAACGCCCATCTTTGGCATCAAATGGACCTTCTTTATGTTGAAATTCATGTGCTCCAACTTTAACAATCTCTGTGCGATGTGCATGTGTTACAACTGGTGAGCCTGTTGTATCAAACTTCATAAATCCAATATCCCTGTGTGTTAAAATATTTATTAAGTCATCCTATTTTAGCTTAGCAACACTATTCTGTGATTTGTTTCTGACAAAGTGGAATCCTCGTGTTTATTATTATTGTAGCTTTCAACAGGTCAGAGAACAGTTTCTTAATTGTTTACTTTTTCAAATGAAATAGCGTGTTCACAATCTTGCACTTTGACCTCTTTTGCTGCCATCAAAGGCAACAGATGCTGGCTTACTGGTGTCATCACTTCCAGTAAGGAAAGCTCTCATCAATTTGCTTGACTCCACCATTGAAGCTGCAAATTTTGCATCCCTGTGCCCCACTTTCTTTTTTCGATATAATGGGCTAAAAGAATAAATTAATAAATACTGACCACACTATTTAGTTGTCAGATGAAAGGAAGCATTCTATTTCCTAAGTTCCTAACCACAAATTATATTTAAATTATTACAATTATAGTTGCAACTCAGGACTAGTTACGCACATCTGGACCTGGTTTCACTTTAACTGCCATTATTTAGACCACCCATACTCATGTTAATTAATGTGACACAACAGTAAGAAAATCAATGCAGATGAGTGCATATGCTGGTAAATCATGCTTATGAGCACCATATAGATTACTGGCAGTTGCTAATTCACATTTAAAAACTCGATAGGTTTAACTACACGAACACTACAGGAGACAAGTCTGAAATTGCTCGAATGACAATTACACACACTGTGGAGACGGGTGTAATCATAACATAATATAAGCTTAGAGGCTCAAAGGCTGTATTTAATATTGAAGGTTTGGATAGAATGAGAAAACTTAAATATAGGCTAACTAATTAGTGGTGCTACATTACAGTTCCTAGATTAAGTCGCTAGTACATCTAGATCTAACATTAATGTTAGACCTGTTATTTCCACCTTTTTAGTCTTAGGTTTGGATCTAGGTGTAATAATAATGACAGAAATTTAGCTTTATACATCTAAACTAGACCTTAGATTTGGGTGCATAGATTGAAAGCACCTTGTATTGAATCTACCCAGAACTAGATATAGCCCTGCCTCATCAATTCTAAATTTAGATTTATTAGGCCTAACTTTTAGAACAAATGTTACATCTAGATCTATTAACTTAGTCATTAGATCTGTCCCAGTGCAATGCCTAGTTTAATAGTTAGTATAGGTCTAAGTATGCCTATAATATAGGCAACAATTTGTATGATGATGGACCTAGGGTCTAGAAATAAAGTCATAACTGCAATTAGACCTGAAGTCTAGTACATTAGTTGGTGTAAGACATGATTTACAATCAGCCAATACAATTACAAATCACTACATTAGGCCTATAATGTTTACTAGATCTACATCTAGGCCTTACGTGTTGCATATATTACCTATCTTGCACACCAGTTAATATGTTACATCAATTTCGTATTGTCTTTTTTTTGAACATACACTTACTTGTACGTTGTACTCTAGGACTTGTATTTGATCTACAGATGAATGATAGAATAGTGTAATTTACTTCTGAACGTCAATTTGGTCTCACTATATTTCAGTGGGCGGCTTTTAAAAGTTAAAACTGCAAGCGTAATACACACAAATAACGTAACACTGTGTCGTATTTACTTAACGTAGGGCAGTTGCGCTATATACTAGGGGAGGGCATAATTATTAATTAATAGGTATTATAGACCAGAGGAAATTTTGCGCCCCTTCACACCTGCGCCCGGAGGCTACTGCCCCCTCTTGCCACGCAACTATTCGATACCCGTGGTGAGCACGGTACAGATAAACCATTCAATAGGTTTGTGCTTAACAAAAAACAACGAAGCTCTCAAAAGAAATCAGTAAAAATAAATATCAGCAAAAATTTGATTTATTCAAAGGCATTATTTGATATTTTTAGAACCAAAGCGTCCGATAACATTTATGTCTCTTTGGCTGAAAAATAATCCACAAAATCAAGAATATTAAACTTTTATAAGATATGGCGATAATTATTAGGAAATCGTGAAAATAATTCTGGCAGAACGCGCAAAAAATTATGGGTTTAAAAAGTTAACTTATCCGAGAATTGAACGTACGAAACAACTGCTTTTAATTCGATAAAGTGAAGTTAAAGTTCTCGACCTTTCGGTCTTGGAATCGTTATAAATACTGTTACGTCTCCGTTTGTTAATTAACTTTCCGTAACTTCGTTCCGACGAAACTTTAGCGACACAAGTCCTTACTTAATAAAACTGGTTTATTCTTTCCGAATATAACTTTACGATACACTTAATTTCAATATTCGCGCTAAAACAAACACTATAACGAACGAACTGTTACGTCTCCGTTTGTTAATTGATTTTTCCGTAACTTCGTTCCGACGAAATTTTAACGACACAAGTCTTTACTTAATAAAACTGGTTTGTTCGTTCGTGATACTGTTTGTTTTAGCGCGAATATTGAGATTAAGTGTATCGCAGAGTTATATTCGGAAAGAATGTTAACTTCAATACCCTGTGACTGCAGTTCAATTAATTACTCACTATCTATCTACCCAGACACGTTACATTCCCCTCTTTTATATATCCGCCTACCCTATATCTAGTAAGAACTAGAGCATTCGCCAAAGTACATGATAATTCTAGAAACGTTGCGTCACGGTGGTCATGTGACTCGCTGACGCAACAGTATACTAGCAGAGTACCAGGCGTTGCTCGGATGGAAATGGTTTTAACTGTTTTTGTTCTTTATTTACATGCTCTTTTATTGATCTGCTTTAAAGCTTCTTTGTCCACAGTACTTTCTATCTTGCTGTCAGGGGCAAAGAAGAAGATAATTTTTTCAGCTCCAACTCTAGAGCAGCCAACATAGAACTGGCCATGGGAAAAGCAGGATGATTCTAGGTCAGTTTCTACCACCTTGAGGATCTGACCTTGTGCAGGCTTGCTGACAGGGAGTAGAGGCAAAAGGGGCAACTGCCCAGGGCCCCGGGGAATGAAACCTGATTATGCCTTAAAGCCCGCTAAGCACATTTAGGCTATATCCTCATTTAATGATAAAAACCATAGTTTTGGCTTTTCTTTGCATATACTGTAGACGCTTGATACATTAAGAACGACTGAAATAATAATTTTAGTAATAATTAATTTATTATTGTTACTTTATAGATTTAATAGATATTTGTTGTTACTTTATTAGCGTTTTTACACTCATACTGTGAGCTAACAGCTGCTGCTGCTATGATTTTTCCTTGTGTATGAGCTCGTTGCTGTCCTAATTTAGAATCTTTTTTAATAAGTTCCTAAAAATGTTAAAGAAGAGAGAGAAATGGGGCCCGGCGAGGATGTTTGCCCCGGGGGCCCGTGCTGGTTCTTCACGCTCCTGACCTTGTGCTTTGTTGGTGGCCATGGTAAAACTTGAGCTGACAGGAAACAGAATCCTCTTGAATGGTGTTGGAGTGTCTGTGTAGAAGAAAGAGAGAGAGAGGGAGAGTAAAGAGAGAATGGGCAAAGAAGCAAATGAAGGTTCCACGAAGTTTTTAAATCGTTCTAACACATAATTGATCATGGATAAGATCATTATAAGAAGTCCTCACACAAAGAAGAAACGTAAATAACAGCCCCCTTGATCACACATTACCAAACAAATCCGACCTTTTAAAGTTGAGACCAATCGGTTGTCCTGTTTGCCAAAAATTGCTATATTGGTCACTTTGGCTTCAAGTTGCGGCCACATAGCCCATGTTACTTCCCACACAAAGTTGTATCTGTATGCCGAGTTTGTAGCTTTAAAGATGTGGCCGCGCATAAGAAACAGACCCACAGACAGTGAGAGAGAGAGAGTCATTCGCGCTTATATATATAAAAACGTCTAGCAGAACCTAGAAAATAGATGAAAATATCAGTGACAGTTAAAATTATATCATATTGTATTCGAGCCAATTAATCTCTTTCACGTATCGAGCCCGGCATGGCCAGGTGGTTAGGGGGCGCTAGACTCGCAATCTGTGGGTCGCGAGTTCGAATCCCCGTCCCACTAAACATGCTCCCCTTTCAACCGCGGGGGCGTTAGAATGTGACGCTCAATCCCACTATTCATTGGTAAAAGAGTAGCCGAAGAGTTGGTGGTGGGTGGTGATGACTAGCTGCCTTCCCTCTAGTCTTACACTGCTAAATTAGGGACGGCTGGCGCAGATAGCCCTCGTGTAGCTTTGCGCGAAATTCAAAATACACACAATTCATGTATCGAAAATGATAAAAACGCAGAAAAATCAATACTAGACGAACACAAAGAAGGATACAACAAAATACCTATACAAACTAAACACAAAGAAGCACATGGAAATCCACGTGACCAACCAGGGAAACAAAAAGAAGTATACGAAGATAATTTGAAACAAACACAAGAAATACCAGAAGATCCAAACAATTTCATCCAAGTAGGACCGAAGAAAATAAGAAAACAGACAGCACAAAACACAACCAATCATACAAATGTAACACACAAAACGCTATTATAATTCAAGGTATTCCAGCACAGTACAGGGAACCACCGCCCCCTAGTGGCACAGTGGTATGTCTGCGGACTTACAACGCTAGAATCCGGGTTTCGATACCCGTGGTGAGCAGAGCACAGATAGCCCATTGTGTAGCTTTGTGCTTAACTTCAAAACAAATAAACAGAAAAACTAAGATATTTTTATTTTTTGCTGTTTAGTTAGATTGTTGACTTACCTGATATAAAGCACCACCTATCGTAGGCCCAAGCAGGAGTCCTAACCCAAAAAACGTTTCGATTGTTGCCTAAAAAGAGATAAAAAGAAACGTATTTAAAATTTTCCCGAACAAGAATGATATTACTGAAATGTTTTGACTGGGATGAATTAGTACTGTTACGTCTCCGTGTGTTAATTAATTTTCCGTAACTTCGTTCCGACGAAACTTAATCGACACAAGTCTTTACTTAATAAAAGTGGTTTATTCTTTCCGAATATAACTTTACCGATACACTCAACTTCAACAATCGCGCTATATCAACGAACGTCAATAATACTTCTGACCGCAGATCAATTACACACTGTCTACTCACACGCATTACATTCCCCTCTTTTATATACCAGCCTACCCTATATCTAGTAAGAACTAGAACATTCGCCAAAGTACATGATAGTTCTAGAAACGTTGCGTCACAGTAGTCATGTGACTCGATGACGCAACAGTACTATTTGTTAAATTCTACGTTTATTGTTTGCCTATCTAGGAAAGCAGTCAGTCCATGTTTTAATAATTACACTTCGTGACCGTCTATTTGGAAGAATTATTTTCCGATCCTTGTCTTTTGAGAATTACATTCCACGACAGGGAAATATCAGTTCATTTCCATTAATCGTAACACTTTATGACAGTGTGTGTCTGCGAAGGATAAGTATTGTTACGTCAATTTACCCCAGACGAGTCTCCAAATTATTACATAACGTATTACAATTTATCCCAAACCAATCTCCAATTTCGTATTGTAATTTCGAATAGCCTGAAATCGAGTTACATGATGATTTAGATTTAGAAATTAAATAAATGTTGATATGTATCTAATTTATGATACTTGCCAACAAGATTGATACATACAGTTGTTTTTTTTTTAATACAAATATATTTTAATATACAAACAATAACACAATTTACAATAACGGTTATTACAAATAATGATCTATGTACAAAAGTTTTACAAACTTACAAACAATATTTAGTCCTTTATCTGGTCTGGAACTTCCTTGATATTTTATCGAGGGTTCACGATGAGCGAATTAATTTTGAGTTAATGTAGATACAATTCACTTAAAAGGGAGCTAGCTAGCTCTGTGTTCTTCGTTCTTTGCCAGTTACACGCCGAGTTATTCACCGCTGAAGTTATATAATGTTTTCGTAAAATTACTAATGTCCAATGAGAATCCGCTGAAGTTAAATGGTTTGTAATATTCGAAACCTATAAACTTTGTGTTCAAATATCTGAAGTTCCCGATTAATAAACGTTATAACAACCCGCTGAAGTTAAATGGTTTGTAATATTCAAAACCTATAAACTTTCTGGTCAAATATCTGAAGTTCCCGATTAATAAGCGTTATAACAATCACAGTTATAGTTTTCCGAAGTTTATAGCACACCAACTATAGCAAACCAATAATATATAGTCTTTTGGCGCGTCGCGTTGGTTATATTTACAGGCGTGAGGAGTTTCTCGAAAGTTCAGCTTACGTAACAATATAAACAATACGCCAGTGTTTACGTACACACATATATTGTTGATTCTTACGCTCGAGAATTTTCTACAGTTTTAAAGAACAGGCGGGAGTTTTGCAATACAGATTTAACAGTATAGGTTATATACATTTCTAAATATAAATTTAACTTAAACAAACATCAGTATTAAAATAGATATATGATAGTAAATCCGTCACAGTATTTATTAGTTTTATACGTTGAATGATTTTTTTTGTCTGGGACAATTTGTATTTGTTCTTTAAGAATAACTATTATCAAGAAAACTAGCTTCTCAAACAGCGCCATTCGTATTTGACAGCCTTTTTCTTTTTCAAATAGCCTTTATATCACTGCAGAAACAGCAACATTAAGCATTTATTTCCATTGTGTACAATTCATCATCATTCCTAGCCTACCTGGACTTATTTTATTATATACACAAATGTTAAAAGACTTTTTTGCTGTGTGCAGTATAGATATTGTTTTTATATTGATTCTATTGTAATCTTCCATAAAACAATCACGAGCAGTTTGTTTCAGAATTTCGCGCTACGTTACACAAGGGCTATTTGCGTATAAAGGAAAGAGGGCTAGTCAACAGCACCCCCAGCCAGCTCTTGGGCTACTATTATGTGATCTAATATTGGGATTTGACTGTCATTCTTACAGCAGTCTTGCGTTAACCATGAATCCTGCGTCGAGCGTTCTAACCACCAGACCCTGCGGTTTTTAAAAAATAAAGTACAGGGTATATATTGACAAAAATATAAAACAATATAGAAACATTCTACTTAACGAAACCTGTAGGAAGACAGTCGTCTATAAACATGTAAGGCTTATATATATAACCCATCGTTTAAAGGTTAATTTTGCATAAGAGTAGATTTAAAGAAGAAATATTTTTATTAGGCTTTTGACTTCATTATTATTCAGCTGAAACTAAATCGCTATCACGCACTGCTAATGGAATGTAAAAAACAGGCAGTTTTAAATAAGATAAGAATGACAGAGATTAGTAATGGAAACGTTTTATGCATATATATGACAATATTGTGATGAGGTTGACAGGTGATGTCTCAAGGCCATCATTTACTAAAATCTTCTGGAACATACACGTCGTTATTAATATTGTTTATTTTGATTTGACTACTTAACATTTTCCATCCATAAATTTTGTTAATTGCACACAGTTTTAAAAAAACGTCCATATGTAAGATAACGTTGATCTTAAAATGAGATAAGAAAGAACCAGTCGCGTTTAATTAAGCTTTGGTTGTTGTTTTTTCTCCTATTAATTCTAGTTTTTATTTTGTGCGAGTTCCATTTTAATTAGTTGGCATTTTGACAAACCACATGTCAAATGGAACCGTACTTTAATATATGCAGGAATGTATGTGCTAGCCGCCCCTAATTTATCATTACTAACTCTTTTACCAACGAATAGTGGGATTGACCGTCACATAATAACAACCCCGCGGCTCAAAGGGCGAGCTTCTTCGATGACGGGTATTCGAACCCACAGACTGCGAGTCGAGCGCCCTAACCACCAGGCCATGCCATACCCTTGTTAATTTGGAACATGTTTGTAGTTTAGTTTTAGACCCGTTGTTGTAGGTGTATATATATTGTAAATTTATTTGATAAAGTGTTAGAAAACCATACTACAACGCTATGATTGAACACGGCGGATTTGCAGCTGTCTAATATAATTTTGACTATTACTTTTCTTGAAGGTTAAGAAATAAAAGTATGTAAAATTACACACAGCTGAACTGTAAGGTTATAGCTAAGAAAAAGATCTTTTATTGATCAGGATGGAGTTTTACATTTTTTCAGGTTTTATGCTAGGTTGTTAATAACTAAATATTTGAATAAAAAAATAGTTTCATTAACCACGCCATGGGCGTCCGCGGGGGGGGGGGGCACTGCCCCTGTAAAATGAAAAACGTAATTCTTTCTTTATTCATTCAGCATATCTATATGAATTTTCGTATTCAATTCACAATCTCACACTATTTTGCTCCCCACCCCCTCCCTCATGTAAAACTTTGCCCGTTCCTGGAAACATTTCTGTGGACGCCCATGATAGCCGACCTAATTTTGTGACCTAGAGGGAAAGCAACACCCGCTGCTTGAAGCGGTCATTCTTAACTGAATAGCGAAATTAACTGTCGTTCTTATAACGTACATACAGCCGAAAGTACAAAGCGTGTTTGGCAGGGCCCGGCATGGCCAGGTGGTTAGGGCGCTCGACTCGCAATCTGAGAGTCGCGGGTTCGAATCCCCGTCCCACCAAACATGCTCACCCTTTCAGCCGTGGGGGCGTTATAATGTGACGGTCAATCCCACTATTCGTGGGTAAAAGAGTAGCCCAAGAGTTGGCGGTGGGTGGTGATGACTAGCTGCCTTCCCTCTAGTCTTACACTGCTAAATTAGGGACGGCTAGCGCAGATAGCCCTCGTGTAGCTTTGTGCAAAATTCAAAAACAAACAGTGTTTGGCAGTACGACGTCTCGAACCCCAGTTTGATAGGTTATCCACTAGGCTACGTAACTTTAAATCCTGAATCACTAACAAACACACTAAACTCAGAAATCAGCTCTCTGATACAGCCTAAACACAGCACTTCAAGTTTTAACTATATTCTATTTTTTCTTTTTTGTGTTAGCCTTGGCAGTGTTTGTGTCATTCCAGTACTAATTTAAACGATTTAACTCGGGACGCACATTACGTATCCACAAGCTCTCTTTAGTGCAGAACATTTCTTTGTTGGCCGCACTTCCCAAGATGTTGAAGTCGTTGGATGTAATACTAATACTACAGTTTTGCAAACAATAACGAATAATAACTGATTTGTTATTTATTCTATTTTGTGCATGCTCTTTGATTCCTGTGCTCAAACAACGAATTGTAGAGCCAACATAGCCAAGGTTACACCTTAGACATATAAATTTGTAGATGACACAAGAGCCATGCGTTTTAGAGATCCTGTCCTTGAATTTGAAATATTACATATACGACATATCGGTTTGAAAAAAAAATCTAAACTTATCTTGTGGATAGATTTTGTTATTTAAAATCACCTTAATTTTATTATCTAATTCTATTGCATGTTTGGCAATAAAAGGTAGAATACAATGAACTATTTCTTTACTTTCAACAAGTTTTCTGATTTTCGAAATGTACAAAGTTTTTAAATAATTCTTACTAATACTATTAATTAACTGCACAGGAAAAATATTTACTTTGTAAAAAGAAAAAAAAAAACCTTTATATTTTGTACTTCTTCGTGGAATCCAGAAAAGGAACTACCATACTGCCCCTAATAATCTCCCAGGTATTTTTATATCGTGCTTGTGTGACAGCAATAGTAATCAAACATATAATCCACTTTTATTATAATAATTTTGATTTGAAAAAAAAAGAAAAAAAACACACGCACACTTATTAGTTTGTTTTGAATTTCGCACAAAACTACACGAGGGCTATCTGCGCTAACCGTCCCTATTTTAGCAATGAAAGATTAGAAGGAAAGCAGCTAGTCATCACCACCCACCACCAACTCTTGGGCTACTCTTTTACCCACGAATAGTGATATTGACCGTCACATTATAACGCCCTTACGACTGAAAGGGCGAGTATGTTTGGTGGGACAGGATTTAGAACTTGCGACCCTCAGATTGCGAGTCGAGCGCCCTAACCACCAGACCATTTGCTGTTTTTGTCTGACTTAGGCCGAAACTCGTGCAGTGATACCTCCTATTCTTTGGGAATATTTCCACATCCATAAACAACACAGCGGAAAACCATAGTTATTTACGTCCTGGAACAATTTATTCACGATGTCTGTCGAATGAAATGTGTCCAGAAAAAACAGATTATTTTCACATAAACAAACCGACAATTTTCCACGCAGAAAATGGCGCGACTGGCCTTGTCTACCTTGAGTGACGTCACTCGCCTCTGACTCAATTTTTCAACCAAACGATCGCAAAGGTTGACTGTTGCACAAACTTTGGGAACTTGTAGGGCCGGGTTGAGGGAAAAATTATCGAATAAAAATGACTTTGCGTAATTTTTAACTATGGCACTTAAATATAAATACAAACATATTTGGTTTTTAACTGTCCGACGTCTTTAAATGGATAAACAATTGGACGAATGGCTACAGTTTGGAAGCTATTTTAATCTTTAAAGTCGACACCAAACGAAAGTGACGTTTACTGCTAGGCCTAACGGCTTACCTATTCGGTAGACCTACATGTAGAATGACTCACATGCACGCCTTCCCGTCATCCTCGAAAAGCCAAGGAAGTAAAGGCCGTTAGCACATTTGTTAGAACAACACAAACTTGTATTATTACATAAACGTTCTTTCTTAAATACACTATTTTTAAAACACACTTGTATATTCCTAAATCTAGGCTAGAACAGCTAAAATTCCAAGAATAAATTTTACTAAACTTGCAATCAAGATGTAGGCCCCCTAGCGGTTATCATTAATATTACAGAGCAAGTTAGAGAAACTTGCAATACAAAACACATAATAATCGTATACTCACGAATGCTGAAGCAACTCTGCCTGGAAATTCTGCAGCGGCATAAGTGTAGCTTGCAGTGACAAACGCCGCAGCTCCAAATCCTTCCACTAATCGAACTAAAATGGCTAAAACAATAAATGGTGTCCCAGGTGGCGAATGATCTAGGAAACTAAAATAACAAGGCATTTTAAATTGGTTTATGACAAAGTTAATATATTCTAATATGCGAAAATCCAAGTAGAAAAAAAAACTGTGAAACGAGCTAACTAAAAAAAGCAAAAATATATATAAACCGTTAGATTTGAGCCTATTAAAAAATATATCTGATTTTTAAACGAATTGTCATATCACACTCGCATCATATCCTGTATATATTGATTTTTTGACGTTTTGTAGAAACTAATATCTATACCCAAAATTATTAAAAACTACGATAAATCACTCACTGATAGATAATTGTTGTTTAGCGTTACCTTTTTTGTTTCATAAAAGTAAAAACTTTAAAATGTATTTTCCTTCATCTGAAATAATGAATATTATACTTAAATCTGTTTTAAGATTAATTTAATTTACTGCAAGATAATTACTTAGTCGATGGTTTCCTCTGAATTATCTGCGAGCTAGCAAACAAACTACACTAAAGCTAGGTTGCATGTATGTGTGCCCACTGCGGGTATCGACATTCGATTTGTAGTGTTATAAGCCCCCAGACTTACCGCTGAGTCATCGTAGACAATGTTTACAAAATGCATAGCAGAACAGTAATCATATGCCAGAACTCCAAATATACTACTATGGAGAAGATTGGATTACGTTTCCATAATGTAGAAACATCTATGATGTTTCGAATTTTGAAATTTCAAGGTAAACAAATAGAAAACGTAGTTGTCGTCGATATAATTTATTTACGTGCTCAGGAAAAATGAACAACTATATCTATCTTTAGATAGATACGGATTATATCCGGGTATTTAATCACGGAAAGGGAATGAAAAGAACTGAAAAACAAATTATAACCACCTTCGTATATTAGAAACTGGCAAATTAGATTGTGGTGTTTCCATTATAACCACCTTTGTATATTAGAAACTGGCAAATTGGATTGTGGTGTTTCCATTATAACCACCTTCGTATATTAGAAACTGGCAAATTGGATTGTGGTGTTTCCAGGAGAATCAAAATTTAATTCATTTTCAAGAAACACTTCTTTTTTGGGGGGTGGGTGGGAACATGGCGAAAAGCACCTCCTCCTGGTATGGCCTGCATGGCATGCTGCCTCCCCCAGTGGCACAGCGGTATATCTGCGGACTAGAAGCCGGGTTTCGATACCTGTGGTGAGCAGAGCACAGATATCCCATTGTGTAGCTTTGTGCTTAACTACAAACAAACAAACAAGTATGAATGCAATTAAAGTGTACTTTAAATGTAACAAAACGCTTTAAAATCCTTTACATATTGTTCGTTTAATTAATTCATTCATTTATTAACTTACAGTTTTTGTATTTATCTATTCATTTCATATAGAGCACACGTCTTTTCCGTAGCATTTATATATACACCTCTTTGAGGATTTGTTTGTTTTAGAGCAAAGACACAAATTGTGCTATTTGCTGTATCCACCGCGTGAAGTCAAACCTCGGATTTTAGCGTTGTAAGTTCGTAAACTTACCGCTGTCACACCGGGAGACCCTCTTTGGGCTAAAACTTGTAAAAAGAGGCAAGTCTCATGATAAAATACTCAGATGTATCCTAAAGAGATTTATTTCAAACATCTATTCTACCTAAAAAAAAAAGTTTTTCTTTTGGTATAAAAATGTTTCTTTTCAGTTACCCGATTATTTCAGCACGAGCAACAAAAGTGTAAATATTGACCTGTTTTAGTCCTAACATTGTGCATAAGCGATTCATTTTATTTTTCAAAGTATGGCTCAAAAGATTTCAAATAGTACTCACCCAAACAATATAGTTGTTGTTCCTGCAACAAATAGCCCTGCATTGACCAAGAATTTGGGTGTGATCCAAGAAATCTGTAATTAAGTATGTAATGATATATACTGGTATAATCACTATATCAAGTGTCATAGTAGGCTTGCATGAATTAACATATGATTATATTTTCTGGAAGTACATAAGTTTTGAAATAAATAAATAAACCTAGATACCATCATATGAATGTTATAACGAATGTCAATGTTCAAAATCTAACTTATGTTACATATATATATATATGCGAGTTTAGATATAAAAGGTCAATTGGTCAAACTTACAATTTTTCCATAGATTGGAGAAGATATAAAGACACCAAGCTCGTAAACTCCAAATACAAAACCATATATGGTAGGAGATGCACCTTTCTCTTCTGCCTGTTCACATGATAAACAACAACACACGTTTTTTAATGCATAAGCATTTACTACAGCACAAAAACAAAATATCAGCCAAATTTAAAAATATCGTAAAAAAAACTAACGACAAAAATAAAAGAACCGTATTAGAATATCTTATAAAAATTATTTCTGAACCTTAACTCACTGATGTGTTTTCTTTGTTTGAAATTAAGCACAAAGCTACACAATGGGCTATCTGTGCTCTGCCCACCACGGGTATCGAAACCCGGATTCTGGCGTTGTAAGTCCGCAGACATACCGCTGTGCCACTAGGGGGCAGTGTGATTTGTAGGTAAGGTTCTAAGAGTTTTATTTTGTATAGAAGTGTCTTCTTTTTCATCGACATTCTCATATTCAACGGCTCTAAATTTTTTATCTAAATTCAGCAATATTTCAAACATGTGATGGATAAAACCATAGGGAATCCGAGGGTTCAGAGTTCGCGACCCGTGGCGCAAAAACGCGCTCCGCACTTTTGGGTAACGGATATATAGTTTTATTTACTAAGATAAGAGCAGCTCGAGAGTTGGCGGTGAATGCTGCTAAATAGCTGCTTTGAAAATTTGAGTTGGCTATACGCAGATAGCTAGCTCTTTTGTAGCTTTGCAACGAAATTCTAAAAGCATAACCATGTCAAGTTGAGCATACAATAAACACACAGTTCATAAAACATTTACCTTTCTTCAAACACAAAATTTGCGAATGAAATACAGTTTTACGACAAAAAAAATATACGCTTTGAGCTTACAGTAATGGAAATATTAACGATTGATTGGTTGGGAAATAATGATGGACGGGAACTGCACAAATGTTACAAGTAATGACAACTAGATGGTGAAGCTATTACCGGTACAAAATATTATCCCAAAAAATACTAAAATATTTTGTTTGTAAGCCTTGTTTTACGTAGGGCAGCGTAATTAAATATGAAAGTTTGAGTGGACCCGGATTTACGATTGACAAGCAGGGGCGTACAAACCATTGAAAATAAGTTATTGGGAACTCAAAAACATGACTAGTAAATGGAGCAAACTATCAGAACACTTCATGTTAAAGTTTTGTTTGAATTTCGCGCAAAGCTACACGAGGGCTATCTGCTCTAGCCGTCCCTAATTTAGCAGTGTAAGACTAGAGGGAAGGCAGCTAGTCATCACCACCCACCGCCAACTCTTGGGCTACCCTTTTACCAACGAATAGTGGGATTGACCGTCACATTATAAAGCCCACACGGCTGAAAGGGCGAGCATGTTTGGTGTGACGGGGATTCGAACCCGCGACCTGCAGATTGCGAATCGAGTGCCCTAACCACCTGGCCAAGCCGGGCCTGATGTTAAAGAAACTGGTTTCGACACATTCGTACGTCCTCTTCAGTCTCACGTGGTCTTCTGTAAAAAGAATATTGATAGTATCGAGTCCTGCAGAATTGTTGATTTAGTGATATAGTTCTTGTTCTGAAATTTATGGTCGTTTTTATGGTCGAAGTTACTGCAGTCAACATTTCGTAGTAAGAATTTATGAACCACCTGAACAAACAACATCCCATAGTACAGTTTACAATGGAAATATAAAAATATAATAAATTCCCATCCCTAGACACGATGGTTACCTCAGAAGATTACAGAAATCCTACAGATGCAGATAACTTTCTCGAATATCTATATCAAGCCAAGCATCATAGATCACCTAGTTTTCATAACACTATTTGTAATATACAAGATGCTAAAAAGAAAGAACAAAAACAACATCACTAACAAATCATCTTGACAACGGATACCCTGAACACACGATAAAGAAGATAAACACGAAGAATAAGCAGGAACATTTTGTTTGTTTGTTAAGCAGCAAGCTACAAATGAGCTATCTATGCCGTGTTGATCGTGGATGTCGAAACTGGTTTTCAGGGCTATAAACCTCCAGACTTGAGCCTTTTTTTGGAGGGGGGGGGCAAATGAGAAAGAATATTACAGACCACCCTCGGTCGTATTCCTATATGTCAGAGATCATTCTGAAAACATAAAGGTAACGTGTAAACAACATGAAGTCAGTATAATATTCAGAATCTGAAACACAATACAATCGAAATTAGCACACTGCAAACACTGAAGACCAAATAAAGAGCAAAATCGCTATTTAGAATATCATTTGCGAATGTGAACTCCAATCATTAGATTAGTAGATATCAAGCTTTTGAAGCTGGTGTACCCCTTTTCAAATGTAGTGCATATTCGCGTACCCCCCATAATTAAGATACTGAAAATAAATATAAAATTACATATCACTATTGAAAGTTAAATAAAATATAGAAGATATATGTTCCACAGAAGTTGGAACAATCACCTTCGTTTTTATTTTATAAGTAAAGTATTTGTCTAAAGTTGATACAAAACTTTCATAGATTTAATATAAAAAAGTCCTTATATAACGAAACAAATTATCTTTTTTTACACATATCTTCGAATTTTTACTAAATAGAACTTTCTGGAAAACCGTAAATGCGGTTTATGAATGAGTTAATGTCAGTCGCAATGTTGTTTGGTTAAAGTTACAAAAAAAAAAATGACGAATAAAAAAAGTTAAAAAAACCTCCTTATATTCCTTACTGCGAAAAGAAGTAGACTTTAAAATAACTCAAGAATTAAACGTAACGCCGAACTTTATTGGCCATCAAATTTACCAGGCTCAATCATGCGGGCCCGGCATGGCCAGATGGATAGGACGCTCGACTCGCAATCTGCGGATCGCAGGTTCGAAACCCCGTCACGCCGAACATACTCGCCCTTTCAGCCGTGGGGGCGTTATAATGTGACGGTCAATCCCACTATTCGTTGGTAAAAGAGTAGCCCAAGAGTTGGCGGTGGGTGGTGATGACTAGCTGCCTTTCCTCTAGTCTTACACCACTAAATTATGGACGGCTAGCGCAGATAGCCCTCGTGTAGCTTTGCGCGAAATTCATAACAAACCAAACTCAATCATGTGTGCCCCCAGTGGCACAGCGAGATGTCTGCGGACTTATAGCGCTAAAAAGTGGGTTTTGATACCCGTGGTGGGCAGAACACGGGTAGCCCTTTGTGTAACTTTGTGCTTAACTACAAAACAAACAAACAACAACAATCATGCGCGAAAGACTTTTTTTTTTGCGACATTTCATTCAATACTCTGTTCATGTACATTACGAATTCGGTAGTTTCGGTGACATTGTATATGCTGTAGTTTAATACACGGCAGGAAGTGTCATATTACGACGAATGTCATATAAGACGTTAAGATCATGGGTAACAAGACTTATAATTTATGCCTATCAACTGGCCACTGCTGATGTCTGTGGGAAAATCTTTATGACGTCTTCCAATTGAGGGAACGATACGAGAAAATCTATCAGCTTCAGGTGGAGAGGATCATGTAACAGCACACAACTAATTTGTATTGATGAACAAATTTCAGATTTATTTCTCAGTCGCGTAAAAGTACAAAATTCACGATACATCCGCCGGTTAGTCATCGGATTCTGCACTATTCAAGTTTTTTAGTGAAATAAAATATTTCCTGCTCTTTTCAGTGATATAAAAGTTGTCGTCCTTTGTGTCCGTGCTTTAATTATCTCTCTTTATAGATAAGTATTTAAAGATTTTGTTTTTATTTTTTCGATTGCCCGACATTTTTATTCTTTTCCCCTTTTTCTTAGAGTTGACTCTATTCCATTCCCGGTAAGTCTTCGGATTTACAACGCTATAATCAGGGGTTCGATTCCCCTAGGTGGACACAGCAGATAGCCCGATGTTGCTTTCCCACAAATAACACAAACACACTACTCCATTCCAAGGTTTCCTGCCGATTTATAGCTGTTTTCCATTCTGATACTCAGTGTTTTTTCGTTTTCGGATATTTGCGCAAAAGATATCTGCGCTCTCCGTCTCTAATTTTAAATATAAACTAGAGAGAAAGCAGCTATTCAACAGCACCCACGCCAACTTTTGGACTACGCTTATCTGACCGACTATTGCGATTTGGCAGTCACCCTTGTAACACATGCAAAGCCAAAAAGTGTGGATCACTTTTTCTTTTTTTTTCGGTAACGAAAAGTGAACATTGAACCCTCATATCCATAGTCCGGCTTGTTAACTGTTGGGCCACGCTCGGCCCTTGACAATGATAAACCTCAAATCAGTTTCTGTTGCTAAACTTAGTTCATTTGTGTGTGTGTGTTTTTATCTCTCTGTTTTTGTCTTCGTCTTTTTTTCCGGCCTTTTCAATTTTGTTTGCATATTTTCTCAACTTTGTCTTCGTAAAGTTTCGTGTGCTTTTTTTCCTCTAATACTATTGCTTTACTATTGCTTTCATCGAGAGTTGCCCATTTTTATATCTTTCTTGTATGTTTCTCATTTTACGACAACAAACTAAAAAGAAGATGACTTTGACTTGAACCATAACCCGTGGTTTCAAACTTTTTATCCTCTTGCTAGACCAATTAACACGTTTGTTTTTTACTTGTGAATAATATTATTTCCACTCTCAACATGTTTCGCACACACCTGTTTGTCGAAAGAAGAAGTGTTACCAGTTTTCAAGGTAATTTTGAATTATTTTTCCCAACACAAACAACTTCTTCATTCTGGTCTCATTGTTGACTTTTATCTCTTTCTGGCTGTGTGGCCTCGCCAGAAATGCCGCCAGAACTTCCACCAATTAACGCTTTGTTCAATCCACTTAAACTTTTTCAGTAATTATCAGTCAGTCAAGATAAAGATATTTATAGGAAAGACGAAGACTTTAGTTATCCTCAAGCTGTATTTTTGTTCTTTTATTTTTATTTTTCATCGATAAAAATGTTAATTAAAAAAGAAAACATCTTTCATTTAACATAGGAAAGACAGATTGAATTAGATACACAGGTTTCACTCCAAGCTACGAAGGAGGCATTGGTCAATCCATCCATGTGTGAAACTCAACTGAAAAATAGAGATTCGATGGCAAGAAGT